CCCCGAGATGTGGCCCAGGACCGGATGCACCACGACATCGTGCAGCTTCTCAATGAGTATAACGTAGCACACAGTCCCACTGGGCACCCCGGGGCCATGCTGAACTCTGCCCTCTCCCCAGTCATTTGTGGCCCAAATAGATCCTTTCTCAATCTGAAGCACGCCTCGTTAAGCAAGAAGTCACGAAAACCGAATGCCAAAGGCATCATGCCCACAAATCTCACCAAAGATGCGAAGAGGAGAAGGAAGAAGTCCCTCAGTGAGAGCAAAGGGCAGTTTTCAGAGAGCTCGGTAACCCTGTCACCCGTTGACTCCCTGGAATCTCCCCATGCTTTTGCATCCGAACCGACGTCGTCTCCTGTGATGCCATCGCCAGGGGTGTTGCACTCATCACCCAGCTCGCTGCTGACCGCTCCGTCGGTGCAGGCTGCGCACAGCATGTCCTTCTCCAACCTCCACGAGATGCAGCCTTTAGGCCGTGGCTCCAGCACCGTGCTCCCATCGGTCAGCCAGCTGCTCTCACAGCATAGAACGACCCCTCCAAACAGCGGGCTTGGCAGGCTCCGGCCGGCCAACGTTTCCACCGAGTGGATGAATCGCATGGAGATGAACGAATCCCAGTACAACGAGATGTTCGGCATGGTGCCGCCGGTCATGCATTCGCACCCCAGTGTTTCTCAGCAGAGCGGTTTGGTTCAAGCCGATACGAAGCACCTGGGAGTGTCCAGGGAGTCTCTGCCCCCTATCATGACTTTCCAGCTGGTTCCCAAGGGTGGCATAAACCAGCAAGCGCTGCCACAGCAGGCCCAGTCCAACTGCGCTCAGAACATGGCTGGCCCTCTTAGCTCCATGTACCAGATATCAGATTTAGCTCAGCTGCCCAGCGCCTCGTTCTCCATGGCTGCCATCCCTCAGCAGGACGGGCAGGTGCCTCAAACAATCCTCCCAGCTTACCACCAGTTCCAGAGCTCGATGGGGAAGTACCCCACGCCTCCGTCGCAGCACAGCTGTTACTCCTCGGCCACAGAACGGACTCCTAGCCACAACCGGCACTTACAAGGGGAGCACCCATACCTGACTCCATCGCCTGAATCTCCAGACCAGTGGTCCAGCTCTTCCCCGCACTCTGCTTCTGACTGGTCTGACGTGGCAACCAGTCCTGGTAACAACCAGCGTGGGCCGGCGGCCGCTCACATGCCAGAGCAGCAGAGGAACAACATGCAGGTGTACGCCTGAAGGCTGGCCAAAGTGGAGCCCGACTAAAGTGGACGTCAGAACTCATGAAGGTCTTCCAGGATGGAAATGAAGAACCATTTTAGTATCCGAGAGTCTTAATGAGCCCAGGATATTCTTTCATCGGAGGGACTGTGGTTGCTGTAGGCTTTTATGCTTTTCTAAGCAGAGAACTGTAGAAGCTGGTGATGGAGAAGACCAGCTGGATCACTTCTAACCAACTGCCATCCACTTTGGGTGTGATTGCTGTCTGCACTGGATTCTCCAGTCTGCTTTTAAGTGTGTTCCACCATGTATCTGGGGAGACAGCTCTTCAGCTTAATGCATCTCATGGTTGTTTCTCCTGAAATTTAGCCAAAACCAGCTTTGTATCCTTATTTTGTTACTAGTTTTGTTACCTACATAATCTATCTCTGAAGCACCTTCTACTAGTTCTCCTTGAGTTCAAGCTGCCTTGTTTTGACACAGCTCAGAGCTGCACCCACATTCCTAGAGCCCTCCATCCTGCGGCTCCCCCTGCTCAGCAAGCAAGCCAGACTCTCCAGGCCAGCTGCAGCCTGAGTGACTGCAGCCACCACCTTCTCTCACGCAGCTTCAACTCACTCTGTGAGAACCTTTTTCTTATATGAACCCACTAATGCCCCTTACCATTCTCACTGCCTGCCCCCATGGTATTCCGAGGTTATATATATACATATAGTCTTCTCTTAAGCCTTTTTATTTTTTTTTTAATTATCCTCCTGAAAACGCTGGTCTGACCCATCTTCCCCCTGCAGCAGCCTGCAGGTGCATCTCTCCCAAGTTGCATATCTTCCTTGAGACACACCTGACCATGGTGACAGATGACCCCCAGTTGTGCCAGGTGTGTCTGTGACAGCCTTCACGTGCTCCAGGATTGGAAGAGATGCCTGCAAGTAATAGAGGCCTGCTGGGAAGCTCTTGGGATTAGCAGGAGCACCTCAAGACCTAACGGCATCAGCTTCCAACATTCTTGCACAGCACTCCCTCCCCTCCACCCGAGGGTTGCTGTCTCCTGTCCCACAGACACTGTATGCTGCCTCGCTGGGGTGTTACTGAGCAATATTAAGGACATCATTATATGTCTGCAGTGTTGTCCCTGCGTGACAGGAATAGCGTCTGGCCCTTCTGCAGTGTTTTTTCTGCTCCAGTCCTGTGGCGACGCTGCCTTGTCCTGCCCTAGCAACGGGAAGCTGCTGCACTGAGTCCCAAGCAGCCTTCTGGCAGCTGCAACAGGAGCTGGGCCAGCAGTGGAGCAAGTTGCTCACAAACAGCTCTGTAACACAGTTTGGTTCTTGGGTTTGGGGCTGTCCTCTGTCCTCAGCTTCAGCCTGTGTCACAGTTTCCTCCATGGGACAGCCGTGGCGTTGGTACCGCAGCTCCCCCGTGTTTTTGGAGTTAGAGAAGCAGCTGACCTCAGTGGGACACCGCCACTTCTCCCTTGTCTGCAAGCCAGCGCTTCCCTGACGGGCTGTAAGCCAGGCAGAATAGCAGCGTACATTCCTGGGGGTGGTTTGCTTCTGCCTCTTCAGGGGAACCCTGCAGACTCGTGTTCCAAAGAGATCCGGAGGTGGCCGCTCGTGTGTGAGCACCTACCATGTACAGTATTTCTCCCACCTTCCTTTCCATTCTAATCCAGCGTAAAGCTTTTTCTTCTTTCCATTCCACTCAATGGTACATGAAGGCAGGGCCTCAGGAGGAGCGTGTTCCCGGGGCCATGTTTGGGCTGAAGTTTTTACTCTGAAGTTCCTTTTCCCGACACGCACAGCGTTCCCGTCGCACTGGCACAGTGTGCACTGTGAAGTTCTGCTGCAGCTGACTCAGATGTCCGGCAGGGCCCAGCGCTCCCAGGGATCTGTTGAGGTACACGTTTCACTGTGCTTAATGAAGTGTTGCTACATCCGTGCTAAAGAACAAAGGGCCTGCTGGCCCCAAATAACCAAGTGCCTTTTTATGTATGTGGCTACCATTTACAAGATGAGTGCTTTCTGTGGAATGAAGCCAGTTTCGTGCCTGGTGTGTTAATATGATGGCCCTCTGCCTTTTTTTTTTTTTTTTAACTACTTGTAAAGATAATATCTCCTTAAGGTGGTATTTTAACTCGTAAGTTGTAGAGCAACCATTCACACAGCAGCATTTTCCTATATTAATAATGGAAAATATTTGCTTATTTTTACATTTTTTTTTTATAAAAGTCTTTTATGAAAATAGTTGCTGCAAATTGTATAAGCAATTTTTATCCCCAGAATAAAGAGTACTTGCCCGGCGTCTGCGTGCTGCTGTTTTCATTTGTCCTCTTGGCTGTTGTGACACAACCACTGGATTGCAAAGATAGGATTAGTGAGGCATGCCTTGTGTGGGCTGGCTCTCAGAGCCCTGATGAGAGCAGGCTCGTTAGGACCAGAATGGGAGAAAGCTTTTGGAGGCTGAGTGCTCTTTGCCATGGCTCAGCAGCATGCAAACCTCACTGCATAGCTCCCTTTAGCAGAAGGGACCTGGGGCCCTCTGTGTGCTGAGAAGGGGCTCAGCAGCTGCGTGCGTGCTCTGGAGTGGATGGGGAGGAGTGTTTTCAGGTCTGGAAAATTTCAGACTTGAGCAGTGAGGGAACAAATTGCCGATGGCTCCATTCCTGTGTTTTGAGCAGGGAGCTGCCCCTGTGCCTTCAGCTTAGTGTGTGCTCCCCTGGCGGGTTTTCAGCTGTGGGCTCTGGTGGAGCTGCTCGCTGAATTAAGATGCCCAGGAGGGATAATGAAGCTGCTGGGAGGCATTTTCACTGTTCAAATATTAAACTCTGTCGCTCCTTTCTCTTCCAGCAGAGCCAGCTCAACCAGTAGGAGCATCCAGCAGCTCACCCCCTCCCACAGGTTGCCCCACATTTGGGGGCTGAGCCCTGCACAGCTGCAGCAGTTGGGGTGCTCAGGCTGAGACCTGCCTCGTCCCCTGCGTGCAGTGGGGAGCGGCCTTTGGGAACCTGTTCTGCTGCTTCCAAACAGGCCCAAAGGAACCAGCCAGGCAGGCATCACTGAATGAAAGAACTGTGGGAGCCTCAGGCTCCTTGGGGGTATTTTCATGCTTTTTCGTAAGCGGTGCCCTCTTCCCAGGGCCGTCAGAGCCAGGCCTGCCTGCACACGCCAGGCTGAGCCACCACAGTGCCCTGGGAACCGTGGGAGAGCCCTGCAATGGGGAGCGTGGCTCTAGCGCGGTGGCACGAAGCTCTGCAGCAAGGGCTGCGACCGGGGGAGCTGATAGACATGGACCAGCAGAGCCTGCGTCAGTGCAGGGTGTGGGGACGGCCACCTGCCCGCTATCTGATGGCCCCCAGCCGCAGGCTGTCCCTGCATCCTGCCGGAAAGGTGCCCAGGCAGATCAAACAAGGGCGGTGTGGGGCTGACGCACTGCAAGCTGGGAGGGGTGCAGGCCTCGCTGGCTGCCACCCCATCCCGTCCCATCCCGCCCCATCCCATCCATCATGCTGCCCGCGGGCGGCCTCCCCGAGGCTTGTCCCTGCCACCCCGTGCTATTCCAGATGGGCACCCGGCAGGTGCGAGGCTGGGTTTTGCGTATACACTGCTCTGTTTGCTCTGGTAATTAATGCTAATTGCAGGGGGTTTATTGACCAACTAGGAGAGGTCCTTCCTGTCTTTTCTGGAGAAATGCTGAATGCAAACAGAGCTGAGATCTAGGCTGGTTTCCAGCTGGGTCGGGGGATGTGGGCAGTGAGCCCTAAGATTTTTATGGTGGCAATCATCTGAGCTGTGCAAACAGTGACTCCAGTGAGCACGGGGCTATATAGGGCAGCTCCTCCTGCGCCACAGACGCGAGGGGCCGTTATTCTTCCCATCTCCGTGTGCCAGGTGAGGATAGGGCTGCCACCGAGCACAGCCTCGGGGTGTTCAGGGGGATGAGAGCTGCCTTTATGGCACAGGGCACGCTGCAGCCTTGTGGTCTTCAGGCCAACTTTTGTTGCTGTCTCTTGGAGAGGAAGATGAGCTGAGTCTGCAAATGATCCCCAGCACTGGCGATTAGCGCACATAAAGGGGAGCTACGCTGAGGCAGCCGATTGCCTCCCCAGCCTGGCATGGACGCAAGCAGGAGGAACAGTGATGCACAGAGGCCTTGTGGCCTGAGCATCCCTGTCTGCTCATGTCATCATTGCTGCTGCCCCGGGCAGGACAAGCCATGGGTCCCTCGCCCATGCAGGTGGCTGCGCCATCCCCCAGAGCACTGCTGGCAGTGGCGGGGCTGGGTCTGCCCAGGGACTCCGAGCCCTGCCTGAGGCACCTGTTGACACCATGGGATCTTACAGGGGACGCCTGCAGAGGAGAGAAGGATGATGGCAGCCAGGTGTGCCCTTCTGCTGCTGTGCTGCATGGTGCTCCTGCAGGTGGTCGGTGAGTCCCGGGGGAATGCTCTTGGCTCGGGTTGGGTGCATGGGGCTGAACCCCTGTCCGTGTATCCCCACCTCTGCCAGGAGCCCGGTACCTGCTGAGCTGCCCTGAAGGCTGGTCCTACTACAAGCTGAACTGCTTCAGGTATTTCTCCCAGCACCGCACCTGGGAGGAGGCAGAGGTAAAGGTGGTTGGGGTGTGCAGCTGGCTGCCCCCAGCTCTGGGTGTGCGGGGATCCTGCAATGCTCCGCATCTCCCTGCAGGCGCTGTGCCAGAACACCTACTCTGGAGCCCACCTTGCCTGGGTGGAGGAGCCCAAGGAAGCAGCCACGCTGAGCCAGGTCATCATGTACTACCAGCGCTCGCAGCCTGTCTGGCTGGGCCTCCACTACCTGCGGCAGGTGAGGGGCTGGCGGTACCCATGGGGCTGGGGACAGCGGGGCTGGGCTCCTGACCCTGTGTCCTGCTCAGAGCCGGGACTGGCGCTGGACCCACGGGGAGAAGTACGATGACCTCCCAACAGTTCCTGGGAATGGTGCCCGAGGAGGAAGCTGTGCCCTGCTGACCCGGAGCAGCAGTGAGTGCCCACAGCCCGCGTGCTTCCTTCTCCTATGGGACCCCTTTGGGCAGAGGGGACCTGGGAGCTGCTGCCCCCTCCATGCTGACCCCGTGGCACATCTCTCCCATAGGTTTCACCGTGTGGTCCAGTGCTGACTGTGACCGACGGCACCACTTCATCTGCAAGTTCACACCCTCACAATGAGCACAGCCCTGTGCCCCCATGCTCTTCTCACCCCACCTCCGCGCTCATCCCTCTTATCTCCCAAAATTACATCTATAAACAGAGAAGCATGTGAGCATGGTGTGCGTCCTGTGCAAAGTCCCCTGCTGTTCTGCCTGCTACTAGTGCATGTGGAGACCTGTGGGGAAAAGAGGGTGTGGGGACAGGTCCCAGGAGTTGCAGGGCTAGGGCAGGTATGCAGGGATGGTGATGTGTGATGAGGGGTCCCTGCGTGGAGACCTGGGAGATGGGAGTGGTTCCCATGAACCTACAGCTCTGAGGGGCTGTGTTGACATCAGCAATGGGGGACAAAGGTCCCTCATTGTGTCACTGCAGTGCGGCTCTGTGCATCACGTGTCTGTTTGCTCTGCTGTTTTGGAGATGGCTGTGCCTCCACCCAGCTCATTTTTGTGCCCCGGAGCAGCCATACATGGAGAACGACATGTCCCAGGTGGCATGGGTGGCACAGGGCACTCTCTGCTCTGTGCTGGGGGGTCACACAGCACAGTGACAGTGGGCTCTGCCGTCACCATCACCCCCCAGCTCAGCGCCAAGCCGTCACCTGGTGGCACTGAACCCACCCCAATGCTCAGCCCTGGCTCCACGCATCCCAAAATGCTGGGACACCAGCCGCAGCCATCTCACTGGTTGTGCCCTCCAAATACAGTACTTGCTGCACTGTCCCTGTCGTGTTGGCTGCTGCTCGCTGACCTTTGAGCACCAGTGCTCAAAGTGCTGATAAGGGCTGGGGGGGCCGCAGTTGATAAAAGCTGCACACCAAGCCGATCCCTGTGTCTGTCTCTCTGTTCGTCCGTCTGGGCTGAAGATGCTGCGCTTGGTCAGCCGCGCTGCGCGGTGCTGGGGAGCGAGGCGGGGGCTGGCACGGGTACACCCTGCAGCCATGCAGCAGGCATGGTGAGTGCCCAGCCATGGGGTGGGCAAAGCCTGGGGGCTTTGGGGGGCTGGCAGTCAGCTGGATGCGTGCTGGGGAGCGGGGGGCTCTGTTGGGGCAGGGAGCAGGGTGCAAGCACTTGTGGGGCCCAGGCAGCCTCAGTGGTGCCCAGCACAGGACCTCCGCTGCTCCCTTTGCCTCGCAGCCTTTCCAGCACTGCAGCGGCTGCCAGCACAGGCACGTGGCCCAAGGACGTGGGTATCCTGGCACTGGAGGTGTACTTCCCTGCACAATATGTGGAGCAGTCTGAACTGGAGCGTTACGACGGTGTGGAGGCCGGCAAGTACACGCGTGGCCTGGGCCAGCAGCAGATGGGCTTCTGCGCTGCCCACGAGGACATCAACTCGCTGTGCCTGACGGTGGTGCAGAGGCTGGTGGAGCGTGGGCAGCTCTCCTGGGATGCCATCGGCCGCCTGGAAGTGGGCACTGAGACCGTCATCGACAAGTCTAAGGCCGTCAAGACCGTCCTCATGGAGCTCTTCCGCGAGTCAGGCAACACTGATGTGGAGGGCATTGACACCACCAACGCCTGCTATGGCGGCACAGCCTCGCTCTTCAACGCAGCCTCCTGGGTCGAGTCCAGTGCCTGGGACGGTGGGCATGGGGCTGGGGGTGCCTGAGTGCGGGGGGGGTACTGGGGCATGGGGGAAGGATGCTGCCCTACTCTCATCCCTCCACCTTTCTTTCTCACCCACGTAGGCCAGGGGATGGGGATGTGAGTGGTGGGCTGTACTGGGACCACGGAATGGATGGGGATGCCCCACCTACTGTCATCCCTGCTGTCCTCTTGCAGGACGCTACGCCGTGGTAGTGTGTGGGGACATTGCTGTCTACGCAACGGGGAACGCACGGCCCACAGGAGGTGCCGGTGCCATTGCTATGCTGGTGGGACCCAACGCCCCTCTGGTGCTGGAGAGAGGTCAGTGCTCCATGGGGATCTGGCTGGCCGTGACTGGGCCAAAGGTGGGGTTGACGTGGTGGTTAGGACCCGCGAGCAGATCCCCAACACACAGCTCTCCCCTGTGTCCCCAGGTTTGCGGGGAACGCACATGGAGCACGCCTATGACTTCTACAAGCCTGACCTGTCTTCAGAATACCCAGTGGTGGACGGTCCCCTCTCCATCCAGTGCTACCTGCGGGCCCTGGACCGCTGCTACGCCGTGTACCGCAGGAAGGCAGAGAGCCAATGGCAGCAGGGTGAGGGGTGACGCTGCGGCACTCAGATGGCCGCACATCCCACCCGATAGCGACTGACATTCCTGCTCTGCCTTCCAGCTGGCATCCAGCGGCCTTTCACCCTTGATGACTTCAAGTTCATCATCTTCCACACACCCTTCTGCAAGCTGGTGCAGAAGTCAGTGGGGCGGCTGCTGCTGAACGACTTCCTGGCCGCCCCCAGCCCTGACACGGCTTCTGGACTCTACAAGGGGCTGCAACCCTTCCGGTGGGTGTCCCTCAGTGCAGTGAGGATGCCTCTGCTCACTTCCCATGCATGCTTACAGCCCGCCTCTCTCCATGCAGCGGCATGAAGCTGGAGGACACCTACACCAGCAAAGAGGTGGAGAAGGCCTTCCAGACGGCCAGCCAGGAGATCTTCAACCAGAAGACCAAGCCCTCCCTGCTGCTCTCCTCCCGCAATGGCAACATGTACACACCGTCCATGTATGGCTGCCTGGCCTCGCTCCTGTCTCAGTGAGTCTGCAGCGCTGGCAGCAGGGGGTCACCATTTTGAGGGGTTGCCATTTGAGGGTTTGCTGTTTTGGTGGGATGTCATTGTGGAGGACGCCATTTTGGGAATGGCCCAGCTTTCACTTCACTCAGCCCAGTGCTGTCCCCCGGCCAGCGTTTCCATGCCGCCTTGCTGGAGTGCATAAAGCCCTTCTGTCAGTGCTATGGGATGAAAACCCCCTTTTCATGACCAGAGAACTGCCGTCCCCCACTGCCGGCTGGGAAGGAGCCATGGGAACAGCCAGGCACGAGGGCGGTGCGACTGCTGTGTCCCTCAGCCCGTCCTTGAGCCACTCGCTGCCTCGTGCAGGGCTGCAGTGCCTGGTACGGCCCAGGGACGTGGTGGGGGCAGAGACCCGCCCAGCCCCTGCTGCGTCCAACTGTTCCCTGCTTGCTGTCCCCTGCAGCACAGTCTCCCTTATCTCCTCCTGCAATGGTTGCAATTTAATCTGGCCCAGCCTGCCAGGGCCCTCCTGGCTGAGGTCCATCGAGCCCTTTATCTCCCCTAACCCGTCACCCCAAATGGCCACAGGTGCTCGGCTCAGGACCTGGCCGGCTCCAGGATCGGTGCCTTTTCCTACGGCTCAGGGCTGGCCGCCAGCATGTTCTCCTTCCGTGTCTCGCAAGATGCTGCTCCGGGTGAGTCCCACATCATGGGCACCGAGAGCCGGGAGGGCACAGATGGGTGGTGTCTCATCCGTGGTCTCCTCACACCAGGCTCCCCCCTGGACAAGCTGCTCTCCAGCCTGGCTGATCTGCCCACCCGCCTGGATGCCCGCAAGCGCGTGGCCCCACAGGACTTCGCCGATATCATGAAGCGGCGGGAGGAGACCCATCACCTGGGTGAGCAGGGCTGGGGGGCACCCTGCTGCCGGGGTCTGGCTGCCCCACTGAGCCTCACATCCTCTCCCCACAGCCAACCACACTCCGCACGGCTCCCAGGCAGACCTGTTCCCCGGCACCTGGTACTTGGAGCGGGTAGACGACAAGTACCGCCGGCAGTACGCCAGGAAGCCCGTGTAGGGCACAGAGAGGGGCAGCCATCGGGGGGACATGCAGGCACAGGAGTGAATGCAGCCATCCGGGTCCTGGAGCAAGCAGTGTTTTCTGCGAAAACGCAGGCAGTGTGGGGAATAAAGCATGGATGCAAGGGCAATACCTCTGCTCTGGCTCCCTATTGCAAAGCAGTCTACATTACACTGTGCCATGTATTCTCCTCCTGCCCCTAAACCCATCCTGAATCACCTCCGTGCCAAGTGAGATTTAACCCTGTACACCACACGTGCCTGAGGAGAATGGCACGTATACTCAGGTTGCCTAATGCTTTGGATCCAACACAGGTGGCAATACGCAATTGCCAGCATCCCCAGGGGATAGCTTCCATGGTAGAAGTGGGGTGACGTAGGAGGCTCAGCCCATCTTGGAGCACTGCCCAGGCTGTGGCCAGAGGGGACTTCAGCAGGGCAGCAGAGCCTGAAAGACCTTTGTACCCTTGAGCAAATAGTGCTAGGAGGTGGGGGGGGGCAGCACTGGGGAACAGAGTCTGCAGGAAATGATGTGGAGTTGGGTATGAGCGACATCATCGAGAAGGGTTTAGGGATGGATAGGAAGGACACCACAAGGTAGGGATGCATGGACAAGGCACAGCATGCTCCTGGTTGCTTTATTGAGCACGATGCTCCCCCAGGTGCTGGAGGCTCCAGGTCCTTCCCCGTCAAGGTGGGGCTACAGGTGGAGCTGGAAGACTTCTGTAGTGCATGGCTTCAGGCCAGCGAGGTCAGACAGCGGGGCTGAGAGCCCGGCTATGCTCCACTGCTCCCCCGACACTGCACTGGAGCTGTGGTAGGACTGGAGCTGGATCCCTGTTTTCCCCAGCAGCCCTGGGCAGGAGGAAAGAGGTCAGAACTGCAGCCTGTTCTCTGGTACCTGGACCCCACAGTAGTGTAGGATCATGAATAGCAGGGCTCTGCCTACCCTGAATCCCCTCTATCATGTTCTTCCTTTCCTTTGCCCCAAGTCATACAACTGTGGAATCATTACAGTTGCAAAGACCTCTCAGATCCCCAAGTCTAACCCCAGCCCACCTCCACCATGTCCCTCACTGCCACAATTCCATGGTTCTTGAACACCTCCAGGGACCGTGACCCCACCAACCCCTGGTCAGCTGGTGCTACTGCATTGCCAATTCCCCAGCCCTGTAACCAAACCACCCCTCCTGTCTCTGCACACAATGCCCTGTCAGCATTGTCTTCCTTTTGACTCCAGGCTGATTGTGGAGATCCCTCCAGCTGTTCCTTTGCTTGTGGTGACACCAGAAGCTTACCAGCGAGTGTGGGCAGCGTGTTTGTTTCAGATGCTTTGACTCGGTAGATAAGGAGAGGGCCCACCAGTGGTGC